TCTCAAAAAACGTGCAAATCATCAAATAACAAACACGTCACCTGACTAAGCTCCGTATTGGCAGGCACTTCCCTCATCGCAAGAGAATTGGAATCTCCGTGATCTCTAAAAATGTCTTTTAACTCCTCCACATCTGTGAGAGGCACCGGTATAACCTATTAAAAAAAAATTCACCTCTAATTAATAATTGTCAGGATGGCCGAGCGGTCTAAGGCGCCAGACTCAAGGATAACCTCCTTCCCAGTGCCAACTGGGCCGGGCGTTCTGGTCTCCAAATGGAGGCGTGGGTTCGAATCCCACTCCTGACATTTTTATTTTCCTTCTTTTTTTCTTTTTGCGATTATGGTTAACCTCGCGTCTTCTTCTTTCTTTTTCTACAAGGATAAACATTGGTGTTACCTGAAGCTGAAGATGCTGAGTGTAATAATTCCTTTCAAAAATAACACAGGATTTGCCTTCCTTATGATACATTTTGCGAAGCGCTCTCTTGAACCTGCTCTGATGTTAAAGAATTCGAACAGTCACAACCACAAGACATTCAAAGATCACAACTACAAGAGATTATTTTTGAACATGTTCGCTAAAGGATATTTTTCAATTTCCATGAGCACTTCCTGCAGTGAAACAAAAAAAGTAAGTTTGTTCTTAGGCAACAAAGATAAGAACTGGTAGCAGCTTCATCATACTCAGTGTTGAACAGTAACATCACAGTAAAACGGCGAAACGTTGCTTTAACGGCATTGTACGATTAAGTCGTGGTAATGTAAAGAGTACAAAAAAGGTAAAGTCTGTTTATGAATCAAGTGGCCCGTCAGGCCGGCATATAACTCCAGTTTCCGTAGTAGCATGAAGCTAGAAGTTTTTTTTTACACAAAAACCGATCTACAAAATAGCCAAAGCGGCATACCGAAAATCCCAATGCCCCCCTCCTTAAGGACAAAATTGTCATGGAGGATTTCGTTTCTTAGCTCAATCTTCTTTTCAAAAGCTACGTTATGGTTTTCTTGCAAGAGCAAAGCAATTTCTTTTCCATTTCATGCTAATAATACTTGATATGCAACAGCCATTTATGCGTCACTCCGTGTACTTTATGTACATGTAGTGACGCATGTAGAAATAGATGTGGAAAGGTCTCCTACCTCGGTCAATTTAACTGTTGACTCGAAATGCGCAATGGGACAGATCAATACATGGTCAGGTACCAGACCTCCTTTGGCCAACGCCACGTATGACTGATGTCAAATGGAAAATAAAACAAAAAGTTACGTACCATTTATTGGAGAAGCTACACATGTTTGTCGTGGTCCAAAATTAAATTGCAGACTGTGGTCAAATTAAAACTACGTGTATATTTGGAAGGGTTCACTAAGAGATGATAATGGGTGAAAATACAAAAAATAGCATTTTTTGGGAAGGCTATTCGGTTAGCTTCGAGATTCGACTTTTTCCGTAAATAGGAAAATAGGAATAGCTATGATCCTCCAGACTTTCGATTCAGTAAAGCACTCCACCAATTATACACATGAGACCTGACTGGGTTAAAGAGGCTGTGCTGGTTAGTAGCGAGTGCAGCAAGCCAAACACATACACACATGTGCGATGAGTTCGATTCCTGCTGGAAAACTCGAAAACCCTTCCAAAGAATGATACCACCCTTGTTTCAAGTAGTTTTAGAGTTTTCTGACAAATCTACATAAAGCATAAAACTCACAGCAGACTGAGGGAATGTACATTAGGGGCCTCTAAATAAAAGAACTGTCTAATAAAACGATTTCCTGCTGTTTTCGTTACAGAACCACAGCACTTTGACAAACATTTCGTTTCGTAGGTTTCGACTTTGAACGGAACCGCAACTTGTGTACTTACATCGTCTCCCACACTGACAACCAAATGTTTCTCGACCTCAGGACTCCCCAGGCAGAACCAACAGGAACCTTTTAAGGGAGCTTGGGAGGAAAAAGAATATTGACCACTTTCATAAATGGATGTCGGATTAATATTCTTTTGTTTATATTTAAATTAGCCTTTCTGTCCTCGCTTGAGATAATGTAACTCCATTTTCTGCCTTTAAAAGTATACACAACCCACAATTCCTCTATTCGCTTCGACGAAGGGCTAACGCTCGAAACGTCAGCTTTTGTAATTGTTACGGTGGCCAATTTACCATTTCAACTTTGTTGATATATTCAAATTAAATATTGATAGGTATGTTACTTTTGTCACAAAGGGCCGATCTCGCTCTAAGAACCCTACTCTCGTACTAAAACCTGCTTACTGTAAAAGTAAAAACTGCAAATTTTCAGTCCTCCTTTTTAATAGAATTGTTAAACCCTGGAACATTATCTGTAATCTCGCCTCTCATGACAATTTTTCGAGTCTAAGTATTTTTAAAAATTTTCTGCGCGCCACTTATTCTACTTTACTGGACACTACTTATAATATTGACATGCCCTGCA